ATCACAAAGTCTGTCACGATACGATTTCAATTCTATTCGATTCACAAGTCTGCGATCGATATATTGCGAAATCAAATGCCCATCTGATTTACATATCAATACATTTAAAAAAACAATTCAAACATGATTTAAACATTTTATTTCTGTTATTACAGGCACCAGGCATTTAAATATATATTTTTCTTAATTAATGAACAAATAAAAATAAATGACCTGTTCAGTATAGTCTCACACTTCTCATGTTTAAGTGCATTTTTTAAACCAGTCAATTTACAAGTGCCCTGATTACCTTTCAGTTATAAAGAAACAAAAATAGATATTAAGCTTATGGCTATCAATGCCGTGTTTCTTCTTCAGGTGAACAGCCAAATTTGTTGTTTCCCGTGTATTTTGACTCACACTGGCACCTGTTACATACGACATACGTTTTGTCTGTTGAGCCGTCCTTCTGTTGGAATCCAAAATATTTCCACAGTGTTGATTTAAATCCAGCAGGAGAGCGAGTTTCATTATCTGTGTTTTCTGCCTCATCTGCCTTGTTGCTGAGGCGGACGCAGAGCGCAGCTGTGCACGGAAATGGTGACAGACGTGCCTTGGGAATTTCAAAATAAAAGCGTATTTTAAAGATGACTATGTGAATCAATGTTTTTTTAACTAATATATCAATTTAAATCGATGTATTGTTACACCCCTAATATATATATTTATACACACTGTATATATAGTATATAAATACATAACTTTAAAGTGTCATGTGAGTCAGTGTCATGCTTTAAATGTCAACAGTATTTCATACTATGTTATTAATTGTCATTTGTTATTAAGTGCTGTATTGCTTTATTTATTCACTTAGTATTTTGACATCCTGTTCACATACTAATTGTCATTATTTATTAATTACTTAATTGTAATATAAAATAATGTTGTCTTTTTATATCTTAACATGTGGTGCCTTCATCTGAGGTAAGTTTAATAACGTTCACAAATGTATTTCTCTGCTTCTGTAGGTTTTTTTAACTGCAACTATAGGCTCTTCCTCTTGGATTTCCTCTCCCCTCCTGTCCCCCCCTCTCCTCTAATTGCCCCCAACAGTTGATAAGAGTTTTGTCCTCTTCAACATACTCCCTAATGGCTGCTTCACAGTAATCATCCACAGCTGCACTGGAGTGGAGACACACAGACAGAGGAGCAGAGAGTGATCAAAAGGTTCCTGTAATTTTTGTAAAGGCTACGACTCGTCCTTTTACAATCCGATCTCAGGTTTAGCTGTCAGCCCTTTCATCTCCCTGGGAGGAGAGAGAGTTTGTTTCTTTACAAATACAACTCTGAGGTAAAAGCCTGGTTATCAATAACCTCATGTTTTGTGCATCTTCTTAGCTAGAAATGACAAGCAGCGGAATAATAAAAAGAAAAAAAAAAACCTGCAAAGCTGATGAGCAATTCACACATTCTGATCCACCGGAAGTGTTGCGTTTTCAATCGGCACAGATTCACTGGAAGTGGTAAAAGACGTCCTCCACTCAAGCAGAATGTGATGCTGATTGCTTATTAGCATGACAAGGGGTTTGCGCCAATTGGTTTCTGCCAATTCAGGAACTCGAAGAGCTCACTCTTTCTGGTTGTTAGCTACAAGAAGGATGAAAATTCAGAGAAATATGTTGAATCAGCTGAATATTTCTGAGTCTGAACAAACAACATACAAAGAAAAACATGACTTGGTTTGACCTTAAATAAATGGACGAAGATGCTATGATAAAAGCAAAACACATACACATTCAGCATAAATCAACATTTTTAAAACATATTATACAAATAGATCTTTCAGTGTCTGGCTTAGAGTTCGTTTAGCGTATATCTTAGATCCTTATATACTGTTTCTTTTTATACTTTATATTTTTTGCTATTTTTGGGTGTAACTGGGACCTCGAGTACACAATTTTGTTCCATCTCATGTACCACATGTGATGTGAATGAAAATAAAGAGACTCAAACTCAAACTTGGAAATAAAAAAGAGCATTTGGAACAATAAAAACAGTGACAGGCATTGTAAAACTAAAAGCACGTACAGTGATCTTGTACTAGTGATTGTACTGAATTTAAAAAACAGGCCAATAAGAGGTTGTGAATTGCAAATATGAATTTAGAATATGCAAATGTATGATACATTCAAGCTCTTTTCAAAAAAGAAGTTTGTCATTTTATTGTGCAGGTTAGACCTCAAATAAGAGTCAATGCTCTAAATGATTGACAAGCTTTAGAACAATAAGTAAAAAGAGTACCGCATATTATACGTCCGTCGACAAACTGTTACCCAACAATCTATAGCAGTGGTCCGAACAAGCAAAGACCTTGTACATTTGACCTTGACTGTGACCTTGACCTTAGAGCTGGGGTGATATGCAACACTCCGTCTAGTGGTGGTACAAATTTCTATTAAGTTTCATTAATGTTTCTTGAGCGGATCAGAACAAGTACATACACTATGGCTATCAGATAAGTACCAGATATGTGCCCATCTACCCTGTAAGTATGAAGTACATACCTGGTATGTACTTGGTTTGTACTTGGTTGATAATAGGTACAAACCCTGTATGTATACAATACATACTTGATTAGTAATGGGTACAAACTGTGGAGTCAATCTGAGTGAAGCAGGCTGCTGCAGCCAATCAATATTAGCAAACATAAAAACAACTGTAATTCAATCATTTTAACAGATATTGACAAAGTTTGGTGTGGAAGTAGTGCAGAGTCTTCCTGCAACATAAACTCTGAGCACAAACTGACTGCATTTAATCTTTTTAAACACTTTGGCATTTGCTGTTGGAGTCAACCGTGTCTCTGCTAATATCTCAAACTACTGGGCAAATCTTCGTGAAACGCTCAGAGTAATCATTACACACACATTTACAGCTGATTAACTTTTGGAGTCAACCCAAATCAGTATGGCTGCCACATCTAATTGATCTAAGCAAACACGAAAAATGTAAACAACAGTCAATTTTAAAATATGTGGAGTAAAATCTGATGTGGTAGAAGCTAAGACTTATCTCCAACACACACTTTGTGCAGATCACAAAAGCTCTTTGTCTAAGGCTTTGGTATGCAATATGACAGGTAATATGCAATCCATTGTTATGCAATTGTTTATTTGGGTGTCCAAAACCTTCTTAAAATGTCTTCAGTTCATCCAAAATGCTGCTGCCAGAGCCTTAATGAGATTTGATAGGAGAGATCATCTCTCCAGTTTTAGCTTCTCTCCATTGGCTCCCTGTCAAATTCAGAAAAATAATTCAAAATCTTACTTCTAACCTACAAAGCTCCCAACAACCTAGCTCCATCTTGTATTACAGATCTTATTGTTCCATATTTTCCTAACAGAGCACTTCACTCTCAGACTGCAGGTTTACTTGCGGTTCTTAGACCTTCCAAAACCAGAACAGGAGGAAGATCTTTCAGTTATCAGGCTCCTCTCTTGTGGAACCAACTTCCAGTTTCTGTCTGTGAGGCTGACACGTTGTCCAGTATTAAGACTGGGATTAAGTCTTTATACTGTAGTTATGCTGCTATAGGCTTAAACTACTGGAGGACAAATTGACCTCATTTCATCAAATGAATAGTTACAAATGAATACAAACGCACAGTTTATATTTGTAATAATTTCTATCTTAACATTTGTTTTGTGTCTTTCCTCCTATAAATAGTACATTTGGACCTGCTGTTCTGTGTCCGTTTCTCCTTCTTGCCCTCTCAAACCCCAGCCGGTCGAAGCAGATGGCCGCTTGTCCTGAGCCTGGTTCTACAGGAGGTTTCTTCCTGTTTAAAGGGAACTTTTTCTTTCCACTGTTGTCTTTGTGCTTGCTCAGGATGGGAGATTGCTATGAAATGAAGACTCAACACAATCGTCTGGGTTCCTTAGATAAAGAACTTTACTAATTGGCTTTTATGTATAGGAATGTTTTTGTACAGTGCCTTGAAACAACTTCTATTGTGACTTGGTGCTATATAAATAAACTGAACTGAATTGAATTAAATTGAGGTATGCTACATTTACATTGCAGCCTCAACCTCATTTGCAGCTTGTTTGCAAATGTGTTCCTTTTAACTGCTTTGTAGTACTCCCACTCAATAAGCAGACACTTTTCTATTTATGCAAATACTTTTACAATCATGTTTTCCTTCTGAGCAAACATTGACTTACACAGATGTTGCATCAGTCAAGCGTAGAGCCATTTGGAGAAGATCCAAAGTTTTCAGTCAAGATGCAATAATTTGAACATGCCTCTTCAGTTACACGTGTGCTCCCTATAGGAAGCCAGTATCCTCATGCTTTTGAATCCATAAACTATGGAGAGCACATCAACCGAGCTTTAGAATAAAAGTTTTGCAAGGAGAAAAAGTCTGGAAGATCTCGGGAGATGTTCATAAATAAATAAACACTTATTTGCAGACAAACTGAGCCCAGCAGCCTGCAGCTCAGGCTGAACAGAGGTTATTGGCTGTGCAGAGTTTGATCAGAGTTCTGCTCAGAAACTTGTCCTTGTTCATCTAATCCACTATATGTTCCTTCTAAAGATTTAGAACCTGGCAAAAACAAACAAAAAAAGCCCTGCACAAAGTTTGGACATTATGTTCAGGTGAGGCAATGATTTATAGAGCGCACCTGGTCATGTCCCTTCTTTTTCTTCTTCTTCTTCCCCCAACAGCCCGAACTCTCTGCGTCCTTGCCTCCAGTGTCACATAACAGACCGTCCAGCTCTTCAGACCCGCCCTGCTGGCTGTGAGACGTCTCTGCAGCCAGGCGGTACGACAAGTTCCTCAGGATGCACACACAGTTCTCCACAGTCTGAAGGAGAGAAGGTCAAAGAAAATGTAAAATGGAGAGAAAGGCTAAATTAGGCAACGATACCAACCAGACAACACATTCACATACAGACACACACACGGTGACAGCGCGACTGTAGTTTGGAGGATTTCTGCAGATTAAAAAAAATGCATCTTCTGGTTGTGAGCTTCCACTCGCAACAAATACAAACAACACTGACTCATCAAATTCACATGGTTTCATATGACACTTTCATATAAACACACACAAACACACACAGAAACTCCCACTGATTATGGTCCTGAGTCACTGTTTGGATTTAGTAATAATGCTCGAACATTTCAGTTCAATGTCAATCGCAGAACTGTAAAACAACTCGATTCATTCCTATTTTAAAAGATAAATGCACACAATCCAAATAACACTAGAGTTTGAAGATACTTGCCAAATTGAATGTTGTGTTAAAAAGGCAAAAGTAGTTTGTACACTGAACAAAAACTATAAACACAACACAATTTTGTTTTTGCTCCTATTTTTCATGAGTTGAACTCAACTGCACACTCCCTCCAAACGTGTGACATCTGTGGCGTTGTGCTGTGTGATAAACCTGCACATTTCACATTTTGGAACGGCCTTTTATTGTGGTCAGCCTAAGGCACATCTGCACAATGATCATGTTGTCTAATCAGCATCTTGATGTGCCACACTTGTGAGGTGGATGGATTATCTTGGCAAAGGAGAGGTGCTCACTAACGCAGAGAAAAAGGCCTTTTGTGTACATAGAAAAAGTCTTAGATCTTTCTACAGGTGTGCAGTGGAGAGCATCCTGTGCTCCAGCATCAACGTGTGGCATGGAGGCTGCACAGCTGCAGAAAGAAAAGCTTTGCAGAGAGTGGTGAAGGCTGCACAGAAGATGTTGGAGTCAATCTCCCCACCATCACAGACATTTACACCTCCAGATGCAGGAAGAGGGCCACCTGCATCATGAAAGACCCCACTCACCCAGCACACACTTTTTGCCCCACTCCGCACAAGCAGAAGGTTGAGGAGCATTAAGTGTAGAACCACTAGACTGAGGAACAGCTTCTACCCTGAGGCTGTTAGACTCATGAATCTCTAACTAGAATAATCACTGTGAAAAATGACTGTGACAAAGTTACTGTAATGCCTCTTGATTGTTGATATGTTCTGCTGACTATCTATGCTGCTGATTTCATGCTGCTGATTTATTTCATGTTGCTGTGTTCATTCGTCCTCATCTGCTCACACATACTCATGTTCGTGATGCTGTTGTTGTCTGGTGCATTGTTTTTGTACTATTAGTGCTTAGTGTTTTCTTAGTTTAGTGTATTTCTTAGTCATATCTTGGATCTTACTACTGTTTTTCTTTACAATTTGTAATTTTGTTGGATGTAACTGGGACCCTGTGTACATAGTTTTGTTCCACCTCATGTAGCACATGTGATGTGAATGACACTAAAGAACTTTGAATCACTGAATCTTTGAGTTCAGCTCATGAAAAATGAGACCAAATCAAAAGTCTTGCATTTATATTTTTGTTCAGTATATGTATAGTTTATGTGCATGGACCAGTAGTTTTGATACAGTATGTGTATGAAAGAGAGAAAGACTGCGAGTGTTTTACCTTGCTGTCAATCTCGCTGCTTCCCAGAGCGGTCTGGATGACGTAGAGCAGAGCGTCGGTTAAACCCTCACACTCCCTCATCCTCCTCCGAGCCTCCTCTCCAGCAGAACTTACATTCCTGTTTCACACACACATAAAAACACACGTGCTTCATTATTAAACTAAAGGCCTAATATTCATTGAAATAATGCATATTGTCTGTTGCCTTAAACATCTGAGTTTTTAGACTAAGATCTTCTTATGTAGCCATTTTGGTCAAACCTTGAAAACAACAATGGGCACCAAATAATGAGACACAGTGAAATGTCACTCAAACGGGGTTCAGCTGCTCTTCTTTATGTGCTGTAAAATGTGAATCTTCTTCTTTACTTTTTGAAGCGGAACATCTCCATGTTAGTTGGCGCAAGAAGATACGAGCACATAAAGACTGTGAAAAAGCAAAGAGGTGGCAGGGGGGAATCATGAGTATGAAAGAGTGAGGCACAGACGGGGCAAGCCAGAAAGAGAGAGGGATAAATGAGGTTTAATACAGGTGAAAAAGGAGAACTGGAGATCTGTGATGAGATAAACATAGAGAATGAAAGTGAGTGACTAAAGGGGAGGAAATGGAAATGGAGAGGGAGAGAGAATTTGAAATTGAGGATGATAATGGGAGAAGGAAGGAGCAAAAGGAAGAGAGAGCAGGTGGCTGGCGATATAAACCCGCCATGAAATATTCAATCTTTAATCAGACTCCCAGCATTCCCTAACGAGGCATGAGAAAGATGAATTAGCTCTTTGAGTTTAGGGAGCTGAGCCACTCCGAGTTATCTTTCTCTCTCTCTCTCTCTCTTTCACACACACACTTAAACAACACCCTCCCACCCCCCAGTACTGGACTAGAAATGTCCATTTTCAAACCTATGGAGAATTAAAAACCACTGAAGCTTTTGTTTGTACAGACACTGAAGTTACAACAAACACACACGCTTTTATTTTTTTTATGAATAAAATATTGACAAACAACAGATTTAAGGAGCAAAAGAACAAATTTTAAGTTCTTCAAATATGGTTATATCATTACAGTTTTTAAACCTTGGACTTTATGATTTAAAGTCTATGTCAAGACAGACAGGTTCTACACTGACTTTGCCCCCTTAACTTGTGGGGTGCTCCAAGGCTCAGTTCTGGGTCCACTTTTGTTTTCCTTTTATATTATCCCATTTGCCGGCATTATTCAATTATTTTCTGATATTTCCTATCACATTTATGCTGATGACATTCAATTGTATTTTTCATTTAGACCACACCAGCTGGACAGGTTGGCCATCCTTGTCCAATATTTGTCCCGTATCAGTTACTGGCTCACCAGTAACTTTTTGATTTTTAAACACCAGTAAGACGGAGACTTTGATTACTTCTCCCAGTCACCTACATCCAACAATCAATCAGACAATTGTCACTTTTTGCCCAGTAGCCAAATCAAAAGTAAAAATAAATCTAGGAGTCACATTTGACTTATCATTAGGCGCTGAACCACACATTAGGGCTATTTCCCATTCTTGTTTCTTTCATTTAAGAAACATTTCTAAAATACAACCCCTACAGTCTCCAGAGTTGGCCTAGAGAAAATCATTCACGCTTTTGTGTCATCACATCTTGAAACATAAAATGGCCTTATTACCTGCTTGGACAAGTCTTCTGCCCCACGTCTACAAGCAAAACAGAACACAGCTGCCAGACTTCTCATCAAATCCAGTAAATACTGTCATATCACTCTGGTTCTATATTCACTACAATGGCTCTTCTTTTTTCATCCAATGCTGTCTGACCATGCTCTCTCCTGCCACAAACGTACAGTCTCCAATTTCCCTCAGGTTTCTTCTTTTACACAGAATGTAGTCTACCTGCATAGTTCTTCCTCTACTCTATGTTCCATTCTCTTGGCAAAATCCATCACCATCTATCCGTCCTGGTTTCTTTCCTTGACACTAAACCTACCCATTAATTTATCAAGATTCATGCTCAATAATTCAGTTAAAACATTCAACAGTGTTCAATCAGGTCATCTGGACAGTTTCATCTTTTTGCTGAGAGACGTTTTGCCCTCCTACCCATCATTTCCTCATCCCCTCTGTTTTCTTCACCAACATGCCCATTCAGGTTTGCCATCACCACTCCTTCCTCCATGGGATTACGCTCTATCACTTAATCCGGATTCTTCCAAAATGTATCTTTCTCTTCCACATCACACCAAACCTGTGGAGCATAACCCCTGACAACATTTAGCATCAGACCTTCTACTTCTATCTTCAGACATATCACCCTATCTGGCACTCTTTTCACCTCTACTACATTCTTTGCCAACTCCTCCTTCAGGATCACCCCTACTCCATTCCTCTTTCTATCCACACCATGGTAAAACAGTTTAAACTCTGCTCCAATGCAGAGTATGTGTTATGAATTACTCACTGTTACTACATAATGTTGATTAGAACTGGTAGTCAGCATAAATTGGGGTGGTTTTTAGGGGAAACAAATCGGGGTAAAATCTGTCTACTAATTTACGAGATATTTTGCTAACAAACCAACACGTGCACATACATAGACATGGGCAAATTCATTATTACCTTTGTGTTCAGTGGTGGGTGGTGATACAATTAACGAGCATGCAGCTGATCTGTCTTCCAAGCTGAAATAATTTCACCGTGGGGCCTGGCTGAACTGAAAGTGTCCCTAAAAAACAAAACTTTATCTGTGAAAATACCTAGCACTTAAGGAAGAGACTTTATGCGCTTTGTTGCCACGTTTTGCCGCTTAATAGATGATTTTGTGTGTTTATGGCCTATCCTACATGTAAATTCATAAAACGCAGCACAGTGTTAAAACTTTAATCAGAGTTCTTTCTGGGGCTGAAGCCTCTTGTGATGGCAGAAAAGATGCAGGGGAGCGCAAACATAAACTTTTACTGCAGCTTTTTAAGTCCCAACCCTACAAGAAGTGTGTTTTTTGGCCTCTTTGTAGCGGCAGAACCACATTTTGAACACAACACTCATATAATCACCCTTTTATAGTCCACTTGTTAGGAAACAGTGGCTTGTTTCCCATCCAGCAGTAGCTGAATTATTAAGCAACATAAACATTTAGGACATTTTGACTGTTTGGCTAATGTAGCGCTAAATGCTAGAGCTGCTGCTAAAGCTAGTTTCCAGATATAACTTTTAATGTTTGGAGCTAAACAGGTAGCATTTAGTTTTCTCCTAAAACATTTTACATCTGTGAGGGTGAATCTTGGCAACTAAGCAATGAGCTAAATTACCTAGAAAGTTAAACTATGTAAAAACAGATCCACATTACAACACTGAAAGCTGTTCATCTAGGTCTTTAAAATAAATAATATATTCAGAAGACAAAGAAATTGAGATTCTTTATAACTTTTTTTTGCATGTCAGCAGTGATAAATTCCCTGCAATGAATAAATACAGGTGGACAATCAGGAATCTGCAGGAGTCTGTGTGGATTTGTCTGTTAGCAAAATATTCCGTGAACATGCAACGTAGCGGGAAATGTCTTCAAATATCCTCAGGGAGAACAAACACTGTAGCGTCCTACAAAAAGTATTAGAAATTAAAAATTAAAATTTGTACGTTACAATTATATTTCCATGAGACTGTAATTTGCAGAAAATTAATGGTCTGAAATAAATTTTATAAGGTTGTCTCCAGGAAGAAAAACTATCCTGATAGAAGATAATATGTCATGTATCTGCATCTACCTGGATTATTGAGCATGCATCAGGATATAATATGTCATGCTTCTGATACTATCGCTAGTTTTAAAGTTGTAGTGCATTTTGATTTAATTTAACAGAGTGAAAAGCTAAAAAAAAGGAGAAAAACATGCACAAAGAAACTGAGACATCCATACACTTTGCGACTTGGTTTTCTTTTATCTTAGACTTCCAAACAAACCATAACTGGACCCGACTCTAAACTTGTCTGGTACCAGTTTACAGAAGAACATTAAGACTGACCAGGGCCCTATTTACTATAAACATTAATCTAAAGAACTTGCAAATCCAACATGCCTAGTGGTTATTCATAAAAAGGGCAAAAAAGAGCTAAAAAAAAAAAAGTGATTACACTTATTATCCACCATCACACACAAACACTGTTTAATTATGGAGGCAGATGATGTATTAGTCTGTGAGGTTAGCCTGACACCACCATTATCAAACATGCTGTAATTATCTCTGCTTCTTGTCCTCTTATATTCCTAATTAATGAAATGAGTTGAGCAAATTAGTACCCATACCACACACAAATAAAGAACATGTTTTTTAGAAAACAAATGTTTACCCAGGGTGTTTTTTTTATAAATGATTTTAATTGTAAAGGTACTTAAACTAGTACAAGAACAAATGTAGCAACAGTAATTGAACGTTACGTTCAGAACTTTTGAAGAGAGGCTTTGTAGAAAGAATATAAATAAATATTATCTTACCTGTTGCATATACTTCAGTTTGACTCTGACTGGACTGACAAGCTAACAGCTAATTAATTACATGGTGCATCGATTAAAGTGGGTCAGTGAATGAAAATTTTAAAACATTTAACATTCACCATTATTTATAATATATGGTTAATCCAGCACATTTAAAATAATATCCCTGCAGATAGTGCACCAGGCTGCACCAGAAAGAACAGTAAAATGCAAAATTGACAGTGAAAAAAGTTTATAATTAAAGTTTATAAAATAGCATTTGCATGGACCACAGTTATATTTTTGATTCAAGTTGTTTTAGGAAGTCAGCAGTTTGCTTTGGGCTTAGCTGCACTCTTCATAGCCAATAGGTCATCAATCTGGTCAGAATAAACTTTATTTCTCCAAATTGAGGTCATTCATAGAGCTATCTACAACAGGTAAGATATTAATTGTTCATAACCTTTAGACAGAACCCCAGTTTAACAGATCTATCCATTTGAAACTGGCACTAAAGTCTGAATTTGAATCCAAGGTTAAAAATCTTAGTTTATTTGCATCAGCAAAGCCTGTCCCTCTATGAATTATTTGTGTATTTATCTGATTTTCTATCATGGAATAGTTCTTGTTTTTATCCACATTGTGACGAATAGGATCAAAACAAGAAACACTTTTTTTGACCATTATGCAACTCAAGTAAGAAAATGAACAGCTGCATAGCGAGTCATCTTTATTCAGCTAAGGTTTTCAGCTTCCTGTGTGCAGGCTGGTAAAAATAACACTGAAGTCACGCTAAAAATATCTGACAGCTCTGATCCAAGTGAGACTGTTTTCCTGTTTGTGTTTTGAAGATAAAATACTGTTTATTATTTGTTGAAATGGATAAAAATAAAGATCAAGCTTATCTTAAAGGAACGTACAGTATATCACTGGCCTCCTGTCATGCTGAAGATTTGGACTAAGATTATCCAGTCTCATAATATTGTAAGGATCACACTCAGTTATGTTTTGCGAATGACTCTCAGCTACTACCACATCAAGTTGTTGCTCAACGTCTGTAAAACTGACTGAATTATAGACATTGTTATGTCCTTCAAGGTCAGTTGGCTGTGGCAGCCATATTGAATTGGATTGGCTCCAAAGTTTAAACACTTTTAGAGGTTTATCTAGTAATAATTTCTTAAAAGTTTTTTTTTTTTAATTAGCGCAGTGGTTCATGAGATATTTTGCTAACAGACTAACAGAGTTGACCACAAACAGAAAATTTTAAACAAAATTTTCATCAATCTGTTAGTGTCAAAAATGTGTATTAGGGATTAGTTTTGTCTACTAACAAACCAAGTGTTAGCTTAATATCTATAAACTTGATGGAGTTATAGACAGTTTTGTGGTTTTAACGTTCAGCTGGCTGTGGCAGCCATCTTGAATCAGGTTGACTAATCACTTGTAGAGTCCAATGATTAACGAATGCAAGTTTCTTTAAAATCCTTCCAGTGGTTCATTGGCTCTTTTGCCAACATACCGTCACAAAGATTATCACTTGCATTTTGGCTTTTTTTCTGTAGGTAAACAACTAAAACCTCGATGTAACTGACCGGAGGCAGCCCGTGGCGTTGCGGAGGACCTGTGAGGAGTGTAGGTGCAGCTTCCGATCCTCCTGCGTGTGCGGAGACGTGTCCCAGCCGGAGTGTGGGATGATCACAGCGTTGGTCAGCACAGCCAGGGCGTCCTGGATGATGGGCATCTTCAGAGCGTCACATGACGACAGGTTCCACAAAACACCTGAGGACAGAGGCAGAGCAGGTCCACAAGAGCTGAGAAGGCTGTGCAGATGAGACAAGAAAAACAGAAGACGCAAAGAAATACCAACAACAACTCCAGGCCAGAAAACACTGAAATATTTAGTAAGCAGTCAGACAAACACACAGTTATTGTTTCAGTGCAGCCATTTTGAAGTCATGTCAAGAAGATTAGCAATGAATCAAACACATCAAATATGTATTTTTCATTTGTTTTTACACCGATTTATTTTATCTTTGTAATTGTCCCAGACTACAACATCTCTCCAACTTTTACTTTCTGGCACATATAACTTATAAACTCAATAAAAGTATGTGTAAGTTTGCATTAAAAGCAAACATATCGATTGTTTAAATGCATAAACAGTAACCAGCTGTAGTCTCAAAAGATATTCAATCAGCACAGATTTTTGCTGCAGAAAACCTAATCTTTTATTTATTAGTTTAGGCCACAGTTGTGCAGCTGTAAAGAACAGACTCTTTCTTTCTTTCTTTCTTTCGTTTTTTTTTTAAACTACCGAAGCAGTGAAAGCAGTAAATCACTTACAAAAAAATTCAACTGTGCCTCTCTTTACTGTTTTTAATTCTCTCCTGAATTCAACATTCAGTGACCAGCCAACCAAGAAAGTGGAATTTTCTCCTGCCTACCAATTACTGTCCAGTCTTTTTTTTTCCACCAGCCACCACACACACACTCTCTCTTTTACCGGAATAGACAAAAGCTCTTCTCTGGAGAATACACCCCCACCCCGTCCCACCACTTCCACACAAACACACATTAACTTTTTAAGAACAGGACAACGAGGGTAAGAGACAAATAACTATGTTTTGCTGTGAAAGGCTTGGATTTCTTGGCTGGTTATAAATACTCACTCGTGCACACAAACTGGGGTAACCTTGAAGAGCTACACGCACAACACATCATAAGTCCTGCTGACCTTCCTCTTGCAAAGTGACTGCATCCTGATCTATGTACTCGTGTAATTATATGTTTGTTTATTTGAGTGTCCGTCGGTATCTGCACATATCTACGACCCTTTTTTATGGTAGCAATTATAGCTGGAGGGATAAAACACATCCTCAAATCTCTGTGTGTGTTTGAAATAAGGCGTTCTCTCGTAAGAGTGGTGTTGTTTACCCTCAGCTGGACAACAACTGAGTAATTGCAGCAGTTATCTCTTTCTATGTGTGTATATGTTTGGGTATTTAAGCCCCTTGATTAATAATTTAATCCCGTCAGATGTTTGGACATGCATTTGGTTGTATTGCACCCCTTTCACACTGGACGACCCCGCTATGACATAAAAAAAAAAAAAAGAAAATCAGCTAGAAAGCAGATGTTTATTTTAGGGTCTTGGTGTGGTGTTCAAGGGTGTATTAGGATATAATGAGCTTCCCTGGCATGACAGGTCATGGAGACATTTGAGCATACACAAAGCTTCTACAGTAAGGTAATCATGCTTTTATTATCACTGTAGCACTAGTGGCAGCATATCCATGACGTTGAGCCCATGCACCATGAAACTTGATCCACAGAATTAGAGGTAAGACTGGCCATGATGGTCTTACAGCTTGGCTACAAAAGTGATCATGAAAAAGGTTATGAAACAACTTGGCACAGAGGTCATACCATGATGGCAAAATAGTGCTACCATGGTGTTATATTCTAGTGTGTATCGATGATATATTCTGTCATAACCCACGTGAGTTGTACCAGCAGGGGCATATAGAGCTTGGTGAAACTGCAGGAAAGCATCTCAGGGATGTGAAAAATAGCTGGGAAAAACACATTTGGTGAGTACTATCAGCAAAGTAGCATCATCATTGTCTGCACGCTGAAGGAGGTTTTCCAGATTTGATACAATCCAGCCACATTCTATTAGGAGGGACTGTCATTTAGAGTGAAGGGGTACTAATGTGTGCAGAATGGTTTTGTGTTGTCCCAAAAAGATGCAAAATACTGATTTGTTCTAACCCAGTCCAAGCTATTTTTTTTAATCCAACCTTTATTTATACAGGTTAGTCTCATTGACTCACAAGGACTCATTTACAAGAGAAACCTCTTATAGCCAGACAACATATAAAGTACAGACAACAATAAACTACAGTAAAAAATACAAAATAAAAGTAGTGTTATAAAACAATAAAACATGGTGCAATACTTAAAAAAGAACATATTTGTTTGATGTTTCTATTGACCTTATCAAATGTTTAAAATCCCCTAAAAAAACTAAGGTAGACCGCTTCAGTTCCTGTTGCAAGTTGTTCTAGGAGCTGAGTAGGAAAAGGCCTTTTCAGTCCGCATTGAGAGATCGCTGCAGGTAATGATGGCCTGAGAGCGCATGTTGTAACTGCACTGACGGCGTGACATGTGGGAGGAGATATAAGAAGGTAGCAGACCAAGAAGGGATTTATAGATGAAAATGAACCAGTGTGAGAGCCTACATGTAGATAATGACGACCAACTGACCAAGGAGTACAGGATGCAGTGATGGGTAAGGTAGTTACAACCAGTCATGAATTATAGCAAAGCAGACAGAGGCATTTATGTAAATAATGTAACCATAGTCAATGGCTAGTAAGAAAGTAGCAGTTACAAGGTGTTTCTTGGCATTCAGAGTTAAGCAAGATCGATTTCTGAAAAAGAAACCCAGTTTTAATTTCACTTTCTTTATCAAATTTTCGACAAGCGGCTTAACAAAGAGATGTGCATCGACCAAGATTCTCAAGTATTTGTAAAAGTCCCAAAACTCAATAGGAACACCATCCATAGATAAGATAGGAGGAAGGACTGCTGTTGCCAACTTGCTGTTTGAAAACAACATCTCTTTGTTTTTTTTTCGGCATTTAGCACCAATTTGAGACCGAACAAGTCTGACTGAATGATGTCAAATGCAGACTGTAGAAGCTGGAAAACCTTGGCAACTGTGTTAGCTCGACAATAAACAATTATATCGTCGGCACAGAAATGCAAGGATGTGTCAGGAATGTTTTGACCTACATTATTTAAATGAATTGTAAAATGAGTGGGTCCTAAAATGGAGCCTTGTGGCACACCATTAGTGACCGTTAGGTAGCTAATTGTAATTACTTTGTATAATTGTGTGACATTCAATCTGAGTTACTCTCAAGATCAGGAAACCTGGTCTTTGCACTGGAAGGTTTCTGAGCTGTAGTGCTTGACAAATGTTTTGAAATATGTTCATTTGCATACTTGTGGATTTCCCATAAATTATACAGATTTTTCTCTATTTTTCATGACTATGGACGTACAGAGAAAGTCTTACGGATTTTTCAAAAACTCAACTTCAAATTTATTTTACGTTTCAGAGCCGGCCTGTAAACCAAATGTTAAGGTCACCCTTTCCTCGTCCTCCTCCTCTGCGACTTAGACTGTACGTTCAACATAATATTTATGTTGTTGTAAATAAAGTTTGTGACATGTGAGAGTACTAAGGATTTTTTTGTAGTTGTGAATTTTAAAGATTTCTGAAGATTCGTACACAGGTAAACATCCAAAGGGGTTGACAGGTAGTGGCTTCATCATCATCTTCATTAATGATTGACAGCTTTTGTCCCTGTGTTGTCTGACATACCAGGTCTTAGAAGTTTCCATTTCTGGCTGGAGCGTCTTGAACTTAAAGCCATTAAATTGCTCCAAAACGGTAAAATATTTAATTTCAAACAAGAAAGAAAACAGCCAGTTCTCCCTCTGTGTAAGATTTGCATACCGTTTCATTTTAAAAATAGAGACGACCCGATGACGGGTTCAGTAGGTAATATTCTGATTTCTTGCGAGTGAAAACATAAAGCATGATGTCACGTTGCAGCTGCAGGACAGAGATGATTTCTGTACAATCTTGAGAAAAGTCAGCTGTTCGCCAGCATCACCACTTATTGTCAAGTGAATGACATCATCTCCCTGAGGCGAAAGGCAGCAGAGTTTTATTTTTGATCAGACACACAAACACACCGGCTGTCTACACATCCACTCTTTGATGCTGCTGCTTCACTAACAAATATGAACCTGCACAAGCTCTAACAGCTACAACACACACACACACACACTCAGGCATGAGTGTGTGACAGATGAAGGAGGTTAATTGCCTCAGCCTTGCATCATGAGTGGCAGCAGGAGGTTGTGAGCGTGCAGTTAAAGTGAGGGAGGGGAAACGAACATGTTGGCTATCTGTCTGTATCTCCGATGCCATTTCCTTTCTCTGATTTGCAGCATGCTTAGATTCATTTCCCTCCCTCCCCCTTCACCTTTTCTTTCTAGGGCATTGCAGCATGGCTCTTTGTTGTATACACCTCAATTTGTCCAATTTGCTTCCCACACCTTGTAGGTTCGAGCTTGTGAGTTGGACTGCTGCGAATATGGAAAACTTTTCAAACAAAATTTGCATTCTTGTGCACACATATGTCCACACACAAGATAATTTAATAAAGCATGACACACTCCTGTTGCTCTCATGCATATTCAGGCATAAAGCTAAGAAATATCCACATCATCTGGTACAGTATTAGAATAAAAAAAGACTACACACACAAAAACATTACAATCACAACTATTGTTGGGTCTCAACAAAGCTTTTTTATCAGCAGACGATGTCTAATTATTGTGTGCCTTAACAACAGTAATCACCCCCGAGAGCTGCTTGTGTACAGGTGCATTTTGTGGTCAGGCACCTCTAAACGATCCACAGCAGAGGTTTAACCTTGAGAACGTCACTGAGTCTTTGTGTCTCCTATTACTGATGCTGCATACATCACTTGCCTTCTGAGCTGCTGTGTGGGAGGAAGATGAGTCCTCTGAACGCCTCAAAGGAAAAGTCAGGTTTTTTTTTTTTTTTTTGTTACTCTAGCATTTGATGCTGATGCAGCTAATAACCACATATAAGCACAATTTGTCTTTGCTACACAGAGACACATCTGACAAAATCTGATTTAAAATTAAAAGTAGTCCCTCGCTACTTTGCTGTT